GAAACAGCGAAGTGAAATACCAAATTTCGCTGTACTTGATCGTGTTAGTCGTGTTCTTTGGGTTCGATGAAATGATTACTGTTTTGACCAATCCACTGCTCTTCATTTTGTGCTTGATTATTGGTGGGTTTGGGTTCACTGCGTACAAGCTTGGGCTTGGCGGAGTGGTCACTTCGTACATGACAAAAATGCTTACAATGTCTGTCGCGTCGATGTTTGAGTACCTTCGAGGGTTTGCTCTATGTAAGCCGTTGATAGATATTGTATGGCCTGTAGATGTTCCCGAGCAGAACAAGGAAGATACGAACCAAGTGGAGTCACAAACACAGTAGAATTTTGATTTTTAAGCAATGCTTCAACTAGTTTAGTTTATTATAATATGATTTAAGTTAGTATACAGTTGATGTCTTAATTTCTCTGATTGATACTAAAAAATAGTATCGTTTGTTAGTAGTTGAATAATAAAAGAATAGTATGTGATGTTACTTTGAAATCCTTATGGAAGATCTCTTTATCTCTACAACATCAAACTTCTTTCGAGTCTTTGACTGTTCACCGTCCAGCAGCAAACAAACACGTCTCGATTACCAATAGTCTTTTTTTATTTTAGCTTCTTATAATATGAATTATATTTTTTCAATTATGGGATTATTAGTTTTAATTACTAGTAATCGTATAGTAATGTAAGCCATTTAACAAATTAGACCAAAAAAATGATATAAATACTATAATGTTAGTAATATAATACTTATAGTATATTAAAAATACTATAATATTTTAACTAATACTTATAATAAGTCAAAAGAAAGATAAAAAGACTCAAAATCAATACTCCAAAGTGTTTTATAGTGGTATGTATTACAAACAAATATAGCCATTCAATTTTTAACATCCTTTTCTTCCGGTTTAACAGTCGACGAGAGTGTCTCGGCATCTTCATAATTGACTTTCATGTCCCCGACTATCTTGTTTTTCAATCCGATAAGAGCGTCTTCGTTCTCGTGTCTTGCTTTAAGTTCTTCTTTCCTCAAAGAAACGTAATCGACATGTCGCTTCTGATAAATGGCAGTGCTCTTATAAGTTCTTGGGTCGGGCAATTCGGGCAAAAACCCGGGAATGTAAGGTCTCTCTTTATCCACTTCTGATAAAGGCACATTTGGTCTTTGCTTAACGACTGGAAATTCCGGAATTCCGTCGATGAACAATTTGTCTTCCCGCGTCACATATTCCCCAAACGAAAACACGTCGACACCAAGTTGTTCCATCGCAAAGAGCATATCAATGAATGTGGATTGTGTTCTTCCGTTGTGTTCAGATATTTCGTGTGTGCGTTTCCCAATTTCTTGAATGTCTTGAAGTCAATAAGTCTGTTATCTTTGTTTGGATATGACTCAAGACATATCTACAATAAGTATCAAATCGAGTTTTGTAAATATATTAATATACTATATAATATATTATATTATCAATGTATAGAACAAACACATCTCCATTATATCGACAAGTGCTTCTAGTGATGATTCCTTCGCGTTAACATACCCGGCACTCATCGCAATTTGTCCAGCTGCTATTTTCAAAATTCTGCGAGGGAACTCACTCTGCTCTGCCATGTCTTTTCTCTTTTTGAGTTATTTACTATTTTTTTATTAATGTATTATTATAATTAATGTATTATTATAATTAATTTATTATTATAATTAATAATATATTATTTATTATAGTTAATTTATTAGTAAACTTATCTTTTTTTCTTTTGGCTTCCTTTTGATTATTTTTTACATAAAGACTCTTTTGTAATTATATCGGTATGTATTTTACCTTTTTCTCTTCTTTTTTTGTCGCATCAAAGAATAACTATCCGATATAACTATTGTTAATTTACAGAGAACAAACTAATAGTAAAAATACAATACCATTATAGTAAAATTGAGAACCAATAAGATCAAATATTTATAACAATTTGTTGTTTACAAAACATAATAGGATTCTGTACATAACTCACCACCATGGGCACCACCCCTGGTATGACTGACTTAAATTCTCGTGTGAAATTGCTTCTTTGATCAATCTGTCGACTTGTTCACTGACGTTCAATCCAATTTCATTCCCAAAATCCTTTCCAGTCAACTTCTCAAGGACTCTCTTTACAACACTCCCCGCCTTATCTTTAATAGAACTGTCGTCTCCAGTGTTATTAACATTTGTGGTGTTTGCTTCCTCTCCCCCTTCACTGTCTTTCCCTCCAAATATTTTGACAATCAATGGATCATACACAAACGCTTCTAACACCGCCATTAAACTGTCTTTATTCATTCGCAGCACTTTCATCACCGCCTCACATGTAATTCTAAATGTCCCTTCGATCCCACTGACATCCATTGCGTTCACGATCATTCGTGTCAATCGAAATGGTATTCGCTCAGGGAACTTCTCTCGTTGAATTGCAACTTCAAAACAGTCGCCAAAGTCGATGTGGACGACATTCCCAGTGTATCTCTGTAACATCAGATTTGATGGGTGGCGATCTCCAAGGCCCAAGATGTACCCAACCATTGACATGAGTGCAACACTTCGTGTGAAATTCGTTCGTCGTTCCATCCATGCCTCTGAAGAAACACTCTTGAGCCACAAAATGTTTGCCAAATCCATTCCAGGCGACTCTTTGAGTACCGCATCGAATATTTCAACCTTCTGTAAGTATGGTAAATCGTCAAAATGTGGTGCCATTTTCGTGATGACCTTCTTTTCCAAATCAACGGGGATATCATGCATCTCTCGGTACTCTTTAATGAGTTGATGGAATGTGTCAGAATGTGGCACCCACCCTATCAACCCACTCATTGTACTCAATGGAATCACTTCATAGCACAGAATATTCAAATGGTGTGTTGAAGTGTATGGGCTCGACGCTAACAAGTCATTAACAAGTCCAAAGAATTGCATCACTCTCTCGTCCTGTCTCAAGTCTTCATGCCCTTTCAAACAGAATTTGTACTCAACCCCATTCGACCCGACTATTGTTAACTTCCTTGGACGTTGTTTTGAAGGGATGATATCGAGCACAGGGACGATGCTTTTGATGCGTGTGATGTTGTTAATGTTCTGTGCTTTGTATGTCCCAGGCACTGCAATGTCCATATCTCTTGCTTCCATTAATCTTGGGGAGACTTGTGGCAACTCCAAGACGGAGACGGAATTGATAGATTTGTGAATCCGTTTGTAGATTTTGAAGTAGATTTCCCACGCATCTTCAATATCACTGTCCTTGTCCGTCGCCGTCCTGTTCTTTGCTTTAAAGCGCAAACAAAACTCATATGCCTCTTTCAGATCTTTTCCGTACGATTGAAGGAACCCTCGCTCATGTTGTGTCTCGCCACCTTTCTCAAGCTTCTCGTAGAGCGGTTGTAATAAGGATAACATCGCGTTGAAGTCGTGGTTTATATAGAACTCTCTGCTTGCTTCTTCTAATGCTTCGTGCCAAGACTCATGCCATAAAACAGCGACTCGGACTAATTCCTCTCCAAGTAAAAGTGCTTGTTCGACCAAATGTCCCGAGTCCGCGCGAATCTTTTCAATGACAGACATCGCCGTTTTACGACGGTCATATGATGGGGACTTGGAAGCAACAGTGAGTGGATAGACAAGTGCTTGTGGATGTTTCTTCCCAATAAAAGTCAACAAATCGATCATCACTCGCTTGACAGATGCAGTGGACTGTATTCTTGCAATGATCTGTGGGATGACATGAAGCCAGATGTCGACCGGAAGTGTTCGAATACCATCGACTATTGCCTCTTCTACTTCTTGGTACTTCCCATATTTAAATAAAATCGTGAGGAGTCTTAATGTGTCTTGAAGCGTTTGTGAATTCTTCGCTAAGATCAACGACTTCACAAACCCTTCAATCGACACTCGAAGGTATTCAACAAGGGTCTCCTCGGACATGTCGGCGCCATTTTCTATGAAGTTGACCACCTCAAAATTTACCAATGCCCAACTGTGCCAATACGCAAAGTTCTCTGTGTCGTATTGTACAGTCGCGTGGTAGTATTGCAATATCTGTGGTATAGTCTCGTAATTAAATGAATTCGAATTTTGTGCTATATATAGACTCCACTCCCCCAATTTAGAAAACACATCCGCCTTTAAGGCTATGTCATCACTCCGCCGCGTTTCTACAAGCTTTTCAAAGCAACTAAGTTTGTCAAGTATCCGTGTTCTACTGTCTAAGTCTTTTGCTTCTTTCCATTCTAACTTCAAATATTGAACTCCAACACGGAGCTTGGCGGCTGGTAATTCATCGAGTTGGTCACGCAGAGGAACTCCAGCAAGTCTGTCAAGTGTTTTCATGGCCAATCGCGTCATCCCATTGTTATAACACAGTCCAGTGTATTTGATCCAACAATCACTGTTCTCCGTTTCGTTTAAGACAAAGCTGTGGATTTTCAAGAGCTTCTGCCATATAGAAACGTCCTCTTTTGCATTCACCAATTTCTCCGTCCATGCGCTTTTCAATATACTTTTCGTGTCTTCGTTGTACATCCCTTCTTTGAACATGATAACTTCCTCAAGCTCTGCTAGCATCTGCGACCGAGCAACAGTCAGATAAGCTCGTTCATAGCACTCTCCTGCTAGTGCAGATAACTCCGCGTCAAGCAACTCCCTCTCTTTCCCAATGAAGTCATTCGCCCGTGTGAATTCGCCTTTGTTGATTGAGTTAATAATTCTAAAGAAATTGGTGTCAAAGGTGTTGTCTGTCATCTCAACGACAATTTTCCCAAAGTCGTCCCATCTGTCCAAATACCACAAAGCGGCAGCATAAAGCGGTCTTGCAGTTTCAATCACATTTTCATTGCCAGATTCCCATATTGTTTTTGCAGACTCTTCCAACTCTTCCCAATCCCCAAGTTGATACAAGCAATTCAATTTCCCAACAAGAAAGTCCCCATTCATCCCGTCATCCTTCAACTTCTTTTCATAAATGTTCAGCGCCTGTTGCCATCTCCCAAGCTTCTCAAACCACGTCTGATTCAATTCAGTCTCGTCGTTGCCGCCTTTGAAACTTTTTGTATACTCTATGAGCCCAGCCGCAGCATCATAGTTCTGTAATTGGTTGTTCAGTCCAATCAATTCCTCAATGTACTCAATTTTTGGAGTGTCATGGAACTCCATTTCTTTGTAATGAAGTGCTTTGGCATAAGCGTTACACCGTTTCGCGTATGTCCCAAGTGAGTTGATCGGCACTTTGATCCCCTCTCTTTCAATAAATTCACACAAGTTGAGAAGTATTTGTAGAATCTCATGTGGTGTCGAGGGGTATTGGAAAACAGCTTTGAGACACTGCACAAGCTTTTTAGTATTCTCCGGTGACTCTTCCCACGACGCAAAGAACGCGAAGTTGAACAAATCACGCGCAAGAGGCGGGTGGTCTGTCGAAAGTGAATGGCAGAAGCTCAGCGAGTGAATAGGGCTTTCTTTCAAAAAAATGATTTCGACTTGCTTCGCCCAGTCCAACCAGTCTTCCTTTGTTTTTCGTTGTTTGTAAGTGTCCCATGTTATCACAATTTTCGTGAGGTCTTTTGTGAGAGTGTCTTCCTCTTGTATCTGATTGAATTTTGTTACTTGGGAATGAAGGTCTTCTGAGATTGTAACGTTCTGCCTGTCGTTTTCATCGATACTCAACACCGGTCCATCGGGTATTCCATCCAACCTTATCATTAAAGTTTGGTACCTTATGTGAATGTACTTTGGACATGTCCTATCTAAGACATTAGAGATGGTTTGTCGATATATCAAAAAGGGTTTCCCAAGACGTTCCCCCATACTACAGAATACGTCCATTGTTGGGTCGCGTAAAATTTCGTTTGGGAGTAATCGGGTGAGTGGTAGAACTAAGCGACTAATGAACTCCTCTGCATCAACGTGTTGTAAAAACTTGTACAATGCTCTCAGTGTTGGGAGTACAATAGAGTAATGCACTTGCTCGCTCACCAAATCGGCAAATACTGGAATAACAAGGTGTAAATAGTCCGCAAAGTCCAAGTTCTCTGATAAGACCACAATGGAGTTGATCACATTTTCAAATACAAAACTGTTTTGATCGAAGACGTACTTGTTCAGTTCAGCCAAAATAAGGGAGAGTATCTTAGGCATATACGCCTTATATTCGTCCAGCATAACCTTTGATATCTCGCACACCAAAGATAAGATCGACAGCATTGTAGTGTCGTCCCAACATTCTTGAATCAACGAGAAAATTTCGGGTAAATACTCTCTGATGTTCTTCTTTATTAAACACATCATTTTTGCCAATCCTTTAATCAGTGCTGGTCTCACCCCAGGCAGACATGTTTTGAAGAGCTTCAAATAAATTGCAAGGATTTGTGGGATGAAGGGAAGACTCTTTGTATTGAAGTAAAGTATCACTTCTATGAACGTCTCGAGTGTTTGTACGTGGCCAAGGACTAAGTTGTTGTCTTGGAGAATTTTAAAGAGAAGTCCCAACACGGTCAGTGTGTAGAATTCCTCACTCCCCGGCGATGTTTTTGGTAACATGGATTCCGTCGGGTCGTTGTCATCGCTGTTATTTGCGTTATCCTTTTCCGTTAACAATTTATATCGGTACGTGTCGATAGCACCGATGATCCCAAACACTTTAATCAGTTCCAATTTGATTGTTTCGTTCCTTTCACTATTTGCAAGTTCGAGCAAGAGTCCCAGTAATTCAGGGTAGTCGTAATATGGCTGGACGACATACCCAATACTTCTTGTGAGTTTTCCTAGAGCTATCAGACTCGACTCTCTTCGTTCACTCTTTTTAAGAGAGTTGCCTTTGTCCGACAAGACTGTCAAAATGCACTTCATCAGTCGTTTGACATATGCCCTCAAATCGCCACCTGTTGTTGTTAAATCGCCAATTGCATTGAGTAAATAAATGCAAGTGTCTCCGTACGACTTTTGGATCGACTCCTCGAGCTTTGGGAGTAAGTCCTCCATTAGTGGAACTATATATGGTTGTATCAGTTTTTTGGAAGATTTTACAAGGATTCCTATCATCAAAGACGCCTCCTCGTTTATTTTCAAGTCTGATGAGTATTTCAGTTGTGTTAATAAGTTGATAATAGTTATTCTGTATGACGGCATCACAAAGGCTGGGTTGTACTTAGTCAGCCTTCCTATTATACAAATCGCTCTTTCTCGTATTTTCAAGTTTTCGTCGTTTAAGATGATAAACATGATCTTAATCTTCTTTGATTGCGCCAAGAAATTGTCGAACCTTTCGTCCAGCATCTGTAACACAGTCAATCGAATTTCGGTGTTCCCATCGCTTAAAGCGTGTTCGAGCAATTTCTCCAAAACGTCGGTCACGTGTAACGTCGATATAATTTTCTTATTATCTTTCACAATATCCATCTGTGGCAATACCTCTCGAGTGAGCATCGCCGCCTCCTTTCTAATATCTTCATTTTCGTTATCTATGTATTTCATTATACATTCCTTGACAACCTCAATAATGTTGTGTTTGAATTTGAAGGTGTGCAGTGTGTTTAGTGCAAGTTGTATTTGCTCCGGGTTCTCGACTTTAGGTGGGAGATTCTTATAAAACATAGTCAAGTGTTCTGGCGCTCCAAATGGGACATACGACTTCCCCAATAATATCCCACAGATGATGTCCAGTAGCATCTTCTGAATTTGGTGCTTGTAAAGTCCATTAGTGCTTGCCTCCAAAGCTTTCTTAGCTAATGACACCAAATGAGCTGTTAGTCCATTGTCGAGTAAACTTGTGAAGACTTGATAGAATAAAGTAAATGTTCTTGGGACTGGGACATACTCGATTAATTGTTGCATACAGTACATAACTGAATTACTCGCGTCAAGGTTCTTATCCTTTCCATTAATAACTATCATGATTTGAGCAAAGATGGTCTCTAAGAATGGATACATCTCCACTTTGACCTCTTTAGTTATATCCCCAATGGCCTTAAAGATCACACCTCTTTCTGGAAACGTTTTGAGAGTGGTTATTAAATAAGTAATAATTCTATCAAAAGGCTCTTTCGTCTTGACTCTTCTCAGCTCAACACTCTCTTCCGTGGAAAACTCCAAACTGGACCTCGCGTCTCTGGAATAGATCTCAGCAACGGCTTCGTTCTTTGGTGCAAACTGTGATGCGTCGAAGCTCGCAAACTCGGGAAGAGCTTGAATAAGAGCCTTTTTAATCATAGCATTTTTGGTCTCTTTACAACTTAAAAAGAGCCCAATGATGTCCTTGTACTTGTCCTTAGTGAAGTCCTTACAGTTGTGAAGTAGTGATGTAAGTACTAAAATAGCACCATGTTGTAATTCCGGGACATTCACTCTTTTCAAATGAAGGATGGCTTGTGTGTACAGTCGAGTCACATCATACCCCTCCGCCTCTTTCGATGTGAAGAGTCTTAACAATATGCCAAACGCCTTTTGTGCTTCCAAACGGGATTGTATATTCTTGTCATACATCACATTAGTCAGCGCATTCACCAATTTGGTTTGATTCATAAAGCAAACGACCTCGTTGTTCGTTGCGATTTGGTACATCATCATCGCACCAGTCGTCTTTGGCTCGTTCTATTTTTAAATATCGTGGTACTATATATGTATAACACTTTTATTATTAATAAACTATAAACAAACTTCCAAAAAGAAGCAGGCGTTGTCTAGTTCCATCTCCACTACGTCGTGGGGGACTATTTTAGATATTTTGCCCAAAAGACGGACAGCGTGCAATATGACCACGGGATATTTCATTTTCAAGAGCATGTCGATGATTTCCTTTGCGTAAGTTCTTGGGTATGTATCATCTATTTCACTTGATATAATGAGGTCGACTGTTGTGATAACAGCTAAAAGTTGTTTGAGAGTAGTGTCTGGTCGTTTGACTTTGTCGATGAGTCCAATTGAGACTTCTTCAACAAATGCGATGACACCCTCTCCTCGTAAATCTCTCAAAACAATAAATATGAGGTCATTGATTTTCGAAGAGATCACGTCGTCTTGGATTAATCGGTTTGTTGTGAGCTCGTTGAAGAGTGACATGTACTTCTCCGACCATCGTATTTTCGATGTCATTATCCGCTTTCAATTTCTCAGTTCAATTGTTCCATAAACTAGTAAGATACTATTAATATGTTATTAACTTACTATGCTTTTTCTTTGAATAATTGGAATGTTTTTGATTCTTTTTCTCCCTCAGCAACACTTTATTTGTCTAAGATTTTTTTGTTGTTGTTGGAGTTACAAATTTGTAATAGAATTAGAAAAATTATAAATATAGAATTTGTCTTGAACGTTTGAAACTATAATTAAACTATAAAGAAACTACAAGTACGATTACCACCAAGCAGCCCATCCAGAAAACATTTTCTTGAGTCTGTTGTGATCTGTTGCTTTGTCTATCACCTCTTTGACTTGCCCTTCGACTGAATACACCTGCCCACCTTCGTACCCCATTAACTTCTCCTTGCACCGCGTCAGAATGTCTTCACATGATTTTTTGTCTTGTTCTTTGTCTTCGTCGCCCTTCGACGAATGGGTTCTCACAGTTTTCAAAATTTTGTTTGTTGTGTCGTCGTTCCACTTCTTTGGAGGAGACGACATAACTGCGTCTAAAATTGCCATCACCATGTCGGTGTTCGTTCGCAACACGTTCATCACGTCTACACATGTCGCCCTGAATCGGCTACCAACTCCAAGATATCCCAAAGGTGCTTGTAACTCTCTTGTGAGTCTGAATGGAACAATTTCTGGGCACGGCAACTTTTTACCGAACTCGAAGATATACCCAAAGTCGATGTGAAGGAGTTCCCCCGTCTTTTTATCAAACATGATATTATTCAAGTGTCTGTCACCTATTCCTAATACATACCCGACCATTGAAGATGTCGCCAAACTTTCCAAATAAGCGCTTCGCATTTCGTAGAGTAGTCGAGCGTCATGGCCATACCACTTCTCGAAGAGGATTTTAAATATCGGAGAGTACTTCTTAAGGCACTCATCAAACTTTTGATACTTTAACTTAACATTCCGATCGGCTTTTTTAGTCTCAACTTCGCAGTACTCCCTCTGAATTGTTTCCGCTGTAGTTTCTTTGGGATAAATCGTCTTGTGGTTTGCCACAAAGATCGAGAAAAGTGGTTGCGCCGTTTTCACAAACTCGAGGAACCCCGACTCTTTGCTCAGTGGTATCACTTTATATGTTCTCAGTCGCATGTTCCGAGTTTTTCTATTACGAAGGAAAGCGTAATTGCACACTTTGAATATCTGTTGAATCATCGCGTCTTGCTTCATCTCATCTTTTGACTTCGCAATGAACGTGTAACACTCTCCATCACTCCCTATAAAGTCCGCTTTCTTCGGCGCATTGACCCCTCCAAGGACTTTGTAAGTCTTTGAAAACCCACTCACTGTTGGGACTTCATTTTCTCGCCCAAAAGGTATCTCACATGTTGGCACACACACAAGCGGATATGTCTTAGATGCAAACGACAGATTATCCTCAGCCTTTGCACTATTACTATGTGCCAAGTTAATGATGTTTTCAGACATTTCCATGACTTGTTGGAATATTGGAGATATTGATTGTTCCCCAGATATCAAATTTGCCAAATGAGCAGCAACTATGGGCGTGTCTTTTTGCACCTTACCTGCTCTCTTTTTGTAATTTGCCTTTGTAGCCATAACCACATGAAACAAAGTCTGTTGAGGATGTTCCACTGCTGTTTTAAATATCAGTTGCATGATCAAGTTAGAAATTGCGTCGGAGTTGTTGGTGGCTTCATTCATTCTACAGAGCAATCGGTATATCACTAATATGACCTTTTCGGATTTTACAATGTCATTCAATTCTTGTGAATTGGCGGTGCCAATGAACATCTCCTTCATCATTTTTTGAACATTTTTGTTGTTCTGCTCTTTCAACATCAAAGAGCATACTCTCAACATACTATACATGTCGTATTTGTCGCTAAATAAAAGTGAGTTGATGTACGACTCTATCGCCTTTTCTATAAATGGAGTGGGTACACCAGTCTCTCGTTCTTCAAGTTCAAATAAGTCAATGTCCTTCTTCAGTGCGGAGGCACTCAACCGGATCTCTTCTGTTATAACACACTTTTCAATTTTAGACAGAGCAAGCTTCTTCTTCTCTTTCAGCGCCTTTCTTGTAAGTGCCTCATCACTTTTTAAGTACTCTTCAATATCGTTCGCTTGACTATCGAAATACTTTGCAGCTCTAAATGCAATTCTCCCGATCTTTTCATAATCATCAAAGCTTTTTGCTTTGTCCAAGATATGCTCAATCAAATTCGTGAGTTCGTCACGGTTTCCGCTTCTTGTCAATGTTTTGTATTTCACTCGTAATAATACACTCTCTAACTCATTCGACTGAAGAAGCTCAATAGCACCCTCGGTGTCATTTTGGGCATGTCGAATCTTAGCCATTGTCTCCCACCACTCGTCATTCCGTTCTCCGTGTTGTCTGACTAAAGTCAAATAAGCGTCGTCGTAATACCCCCACTCGATAGCAAGTTGTGTTGTCACCTTAGAAACATTTGGCACCTTCTCGACTTCGCAAAGCTCGAGTAACGGCTTTAATGTGTGATAATTGGTGGTGCATTTCTGAAGCTCTTGCAACATCAACGAATTTCGATTTGTGTCCTTTTGACTCACCACATTCCCCATCATACATTCAACTACATATCGACTTAACTCACCTTTGTCACTCTCCCCTATAATCCCTATTTTAAGCTTCTCAAATGATTCTTTACTGAATGTCTTGAGTGACTCTTTATCACTGAATTTTACAGCACGCCATAAATGATACATCTTGTTTTGCTCTAGCCTCTCTTTATCATAATAAACAACGTCGCCCCAATCAGTAAAGCCTCTCCAAGCAGTGGAGTAATCGTTATCAGTAACATCAGTAGTAGTTCCAATCCTCTCAGTTAAATGTGCAGTGTAATACAATCCACTTTGTATCAGGGCTTCGTCAACGCCACTTTGATTTGCTTCTGCTTGTAAAAGACGGTGATACTGATGCTCATAAGACACGTCGATTGTTCTGCCTTCGAGCTCTTTTGCAGACATAAAGTCTTTCACTGCTTTAAATGCGCTGATGAGTGGTGTTACGTCTGGGTTCTTAACATCGACGAAACTCTCCGATATCTTAAGAGCGGTGAATGGGAGCTTCCATTTGATTGAATTCTGAACAACATCTGCTGTTTTTCGTGTTTGGATGTATCTGCCAAATGTTGTGAAATATCTTGAAAAAGCGGGAAGAACAATTTGAAGCTTCTTGTCGTCGGAAATCACGTCCAAAATGTACTTCTCTATTTCATTGTCACTCAAAGACATTTGGTCGTAAAATGCACACGACACGTTGATCACAACATCACACGAAAAATCGTCTTCTGAACACACGCTGAGGATATTCATAGTTTCTCCATCCGTTTTGGGCGTCACAAAGAACTCGACAAATTTCTTTGCAATCTCAAATTTGAGACTGGTTGGCCACTCTCGAGTCTTCTCTTTCATTTCCCTTTCGTGTTGTGCATTTCCCAGTGAAGAAACCAATGGGAAGAGTACTTTAGAGAATACCGTCTTTTTTGCATTCGAATTAAAGAAGTGGAGGAATTTGACTGCATTAATAGAACAACGGAGTGTCGCGACTAAATAACACACACGCTCCGAGAGTTGTTGAATTAAAACTTCTTTAAAATTCTTCGATGTATCGACTTTCCACATGAAACTTGGTATCTGGGAATAGGTGGATTTTGTTGATGTTAAATCAGTAAGTAAATACAACATTTTGCTGTTGAGAGAGTTGGCGCATAAGGCTTTGAAATCCTCTGACATTAGAAGCACCGAGTAAATGTATTGGTGTGTGGATATGTCTTCCAAAGATCTGAGGTAAATTGGGTATGGCACAGCATCATAGAAATACCGCATTTGAAGATCGACCAATTCCTCGGGAATATTACTTGTAAATTGGTTCTGTAACTCAGGAAGAAGAACAATTTTAAACGCGTCGCTGTTTGTCGAGAGGTGTGTTGCCAATGCAGAAGTGATCAATTTATACACATCAGAATATGTTGTTAATTGTTTGGAGCACAGAATTGTCACGGCATTATAAACCAATTCGTTGTTCTTCACAAAACTTTCCATTTTAAGAAGTTTGGATAAAAAGAGGGAATAAGTCAGTGCCAAATCCTTCTCATTCGTCGTTTGTGAAACAAGTTTCCCAAAGAGAGCAACTAGTTGGTTTACATCCGTTGTCTTTGAAGAGAATATGAAAGGGGATATAGTCAGCACATGAAAAGTGTTGGGAATTCTCTCAAGAAGTTGTATGAAGGAAGGCTTCCCTGTTGTGTACATCAACGAATCACAGAAGTGTGTTTGTATGTAAGTGTCAAGACTCTTCTGATCGATTTTGTCAATATGTCCATGTGTCAAATAACAATCAACAAAAAGGCCCATCTCCTTCCCACAAAACTGTTTGATGTTCGCGTAGCCAAGTGTTTCCAGAATCATTCCCTCAATGGTTTTGTTTGAGAGAATCAAAGGAATCAATTCGCGTTTGTATTTGCACAAAAAAGTACACAACGTTTCTTCTTCGCCGAGTAAGTAATACGGCAAATTCGAGAAGATTTTCTCGCTTGAATACCACATCGAAAAGAAGTCCGTTGTGAAGTGTGTTGCTTCTATTTGAAACCCAACTACAGTCGAGAACAATGACAAGTCATTTTGTTTGACAAGTACAAGAGAAATGGTGTGGAGGGTATTTCTAATGTTTTCGTCGCTTTTCTTGGACAAACCCATATAGTACATAAACGATGAGATGGTTTTAAATAGCGAAGAATTATCAAAAACCAACAAAGAGAGATCTTTTATTATTTGTTGATCGACAACTTCTGGACTTTTGCAACGGACTTCTGGAAACGCCAACATCATTTCCAAATTCTTGAGTGGTGTTGTACCACTCTTCATGCAATATGCAAACGTCTTTGGAAGGTGCAACGAGTTACTCAGTAAGTTGTTGTAAATGAAAAGACCGAGTTCTTGCTTGTCAATAGAAAGACATGTTTTGAATAACAAATCCATTGTCAACGCACTTTGATGAAAAGATTTGTCTTCAAATAGTTTTTCGAGATATGGGAGAAGCAGTTCGTGTGGTTGAATCAAATCTACAAATTGGGATATCTGTGAAACGTTTCTGGAAATATGTAATAATATCCGTTGTATGAAATCAAGTGGCAACCGCAACTTGCCGATCTTCTTAAGCTCATTAAAGATTGAGAACAACGAAGAGATCACTTTTGAGTCGTACGTTTTGATGAGTGTTGATAAACGCGAGTCTGCACTCTTCAGTACTGGGCACATTTCCATATATTTTATATCGGACAAATACTCAATTACTTTGTTGTGGAGTTTTCCGTTAAACGATGTGTCTTTAACAAGTGCTTTCAAAGTCTCCAAGATGGTAACCAATACCTCATTTGTATTTGGTTTCTGTGAGCACAAAAATTGGAGAATTGGCTTTACATTACCAGACTCATTCATCACATTGTCACACATTTCTTCAAAGTCAGATGATTCCATCAACTTCGATGATGTTACCAACTTCTCTATGAAGACTTGAGAGAGTGGGGTTTTAAGGCTTTTCACCTTTTGAATCAAGTGGACAAAGAATTTGTATTTTATAATCAAATTAGAACATTCCTCAAGATCTTTGCACTCCTCATCTGTTGTGAAATAGTCGACAATCGGCTTGAAAAGATTGACTTGCATATTCTCAGACAGTTTGAACTCCATTTTGGGGTCCTTAATAAACTCCACTGTTGTTTTGTTCTCGTCGACCACATCGAGCAGAAAGTGTGTGTAAAATTGTTTGGTCATTTCGTCATCCTTCCTATTGACATAAAAAATCGCGTCGATGTCTTCTTTTGATATTTTCACGTCAAATAAAATCCTCATCAGCGACTTGACGTTCATTTCATTCTTTACAAACAACTTGATGTTTTCGGAAATCCATACAAACTGCTTTTCTTCAGTCAGACAGCACTCGTACAACATTGGCAACACCAAATCCGGATTAATAACATTCTTTGGGATATTATATGCATTAAAGATCATATGGAATGCTACCAATTGATTCAAAAGAGGTTGTCCTTGGTTCATTAAAGCACGTTGCCCATATTCCTCTCCAAGCGGTTGTAACTCATTTGCTTTCAGTAAATACATTGAAGAGACATTCAACAGTCTCAAATGAGCATTTGAATATTTGTAACTGCCTTCAACATGTTCTGCTCTGACAAATATCTCATTTATAATGGCGACTTCTTCTCCTTCAAACGTGCCATCGATCAGAAATTGGTCGACCGCATATTCAAGTAACAAAGACTCCCCAAAAATAGCTTTTGTGTTGTTGTGTCTGACATACAATTGGAGCACTTGCTCGACAAGAAACACTACAGGTTTATCACAGGACACAGTCACTATTTTCCCAAACAACTGAGCCACTGAAATTAAAAGTTCTCGTCCGGCTTGTGCGCCGCTTGACACTTTCATTTTAGTGTCTTCCACTAACAAGGCGATGTCGTAACGTGTATCACCTATTTGGGGTAATATAACACTATTTAATACACTTTCTAATATCTGGGCAAGCCCTTCCTTATTAGCGAAGGTATAACTAATGGCTATTGAAAAGAATGAGATGACCACAATAGGGTTATCCTTCAAAAGATTTGGTAAGTTGATCACCTCTTCATTCAAGTCATTGACAATAGAAATTGCTGCTTGTGGATTCATATAGCTGTAATACACATTCAAGTAGTTGACGATATTTAACGTCAGTGCCACATCCATAGCGTCAGAACCCGAAATAAAGAACATCAAATATATCTTGACTCTGTCATACACTTGCTGAATGTGTCCATGCATAAACGGAGCGCTTTTCAGTCCAATAATAGCAACAAAGAGCATCCGTACAAATGCAGTGCATGTGTCGTTCGAGTACTCGTCAATGTTCTCGTTAATAATTTTCAAGAAGAGTTCTTCAGTAATGTTGTCCATTTCAGTCTCATGTTGCAATACAACGTCCAGCAAGCAGTGATTCCCAAATATGTTCGTGAGGAGTTCAAAGACTTGTTTCTTTGTTTTGAGCTCGTCATACAAACTGGTGGTGATGCAACTCATTATAAGCAACACCCCATCTAACAATATATTCTGTGAGTCCAACTGATACTCCAACGAGCCGTAATCGTGAGTTTCAAGTGTTAAAACGTTCTTAAGTAACATATGTGTTGTCAGTGCATATGACGGAACAATTGCGTTTAACGCAGAGATCACATCGGATGTCGTGAACCCTTTTTCCCTTTGAATAGCGACCTCTATGATTTTGCTCCAGGTGACTTCTTTGTACTTTTCTTTGTTTTCATCACTTAATGGGACTTTCTCAAGTGTGTTAAAGTTCAACGTAAAGCGAATATCGGCATTCAGAACCGTGTCTTGAAATTCTTTTTTATACTTCGCATTTTTGTTTTTCTTACTTTTAAAGTTCTGAAAGAAAGTGGCGAGGGTCAGCCTTCCTTATCATCAATTGTCATCATCAGATGTATATACAAAAAACAACAGCAGAAGACAAACTTGAATTTAACACTTTTTGTGCTGCTTCAGTAAGACGGAAAGGAAAGGTGTTATATTCTTGAACATAGAGGGATATATCCTCTTCCATTATTTATCTCTTTTTAATGTTCCTTTTCTATATATAATTAGTAATTTGGTCAAATGAACGCGGAAACTATTAAAATTAATCATGAATGCTATAGAACTAGTTACATCAGAGTAATGAGTGTCTTCCTTGAAACAAGTCTTGGAAACATCGTCGTCGACTTATTTGTCGAAAACAACCCGGTGGGTAGTATGAACTTCCTAAAACTGATCAAACTGAATCATTACAAGTACTCCGTCATCACAAAAGTGATCAAGGACTACGCTTTCCAATTTGACAACAAATACAACTTAGAAGGGACTTGTGTGACTGGAGTGTTGGTACACCAAAAAGGAGAGTTAATGAGTTGCACACCTAAGAAACCTCAAAGCAACAAAACTGCAGGCATAGTCGGCTTTCTTAGTCATGGACAACACAAAATAGGAAGTGAAGTGTATGTCACAACAGCCGATGGTATTGAGAGTATTCAAGGAATTCCCTTTGGTAAAGTTGCAGAAGGGATGGACGTCGTCCAAAAGATCAACGAGCTGCTTGTCGACACCGACGATAAACCCTTTCAGAACATCCGAATCATCTCACATGAAATCTTTGAAGACCCCTTTCCTGATCCAAAAGGATTTCCTGAAGTGATCAATGAGCCAAAATTAGAGAGAGATGATCACCCTGAAGTCGAAGACTTAGTCAAAGAAATAACAGAAGACGTCGAGCGCAAAATGAAAGAAAATGAAGCTCGAAGTCGTGCGGAGATTCTCGAGATGGTCGGCGATTTACCCTTTGCCGAGATCAAGCCACCCGAAAACGTGTTGTTTGTCTGTAAACTGAATCAGTGTACAAGAGACTCGGACTTAGAAGCGATCTTTGACAAATTTGGGAAGGTAGTGTCTGCTGAAGTGATATGTGACAAAAAGACGGGAAATTCCCTTGGGTATGCGTTCATTGAATTTGAAGCCAAAGAAGCGTGTGAGGAAGCGTATAAGAAGATGGACAATGTGATTATAGACGACCGACGAATTCATGTTGATTTTTCGCAATCGATTGGGAAATATGGTGTGAAGTACGACTTCATCCGGCGGAAGAACAAGTGGGAGAAGGTTGATCAAAATGATCCAAGAAAGCGTGTGAAGAAATCGACGTTCAAAGGTGACTTCAAACGAAAGAACTGATTGCTTTGGAAATGTCTTTTATTACCATGCACAACAAACTTGTTGCAATCCGTAATCACTCATTTATAAACTGGAACACAATCATTGAGCCGTACAATCAGGAGGAGCTTGGAGATGTTGTGGGACTTCTTCAATTTCAACGATATCATCTTCACTCGACTCGTTGCTGACATCCGACCCTCCATCATCCAACTCCATATTTTGCATATCGTTATCAAGTTGGTACGTGCTTGTCATCGCTGCTCTGTTTGGGATAGTTTCATCGAAAAAGGAAATGGAATTGTCGACTAATTCATTGATAAATCCCATCAATATTTTGAAGTGCATTTTCCTCTCTTCTTCTTTCGCACTTTCGATGACCTGTGAGAACTCGCCGTCTTCGCTCTCGTGCTTGAGATCGTCAAAAAGATGGAAGAACGATTGAATAACGTGCGGCTTCGGCGCAGGCATGTTTCCTTTTCTTTTTTTGCTTGGGCGGGAAACCCTAGGATCCTTTCCAGGGTTCCACAGAATGGGTTGGTCTGTCTCTTCTTCGGGTTCGAGCATTTCCATGTCAGGATTGTTGTATCCGCAAACCTTAAAGTACACACTTTTAATACCTTCAGTGTTTTGCATTAAAGGGTTTGGTTCGAAAATGAAATGAACTCTATAGAGTGCCAAAAGGCAAGGGGTTTTATCAGCCAAAGTCGACGAGACCAAAGGAACGCTTTCGACGACGACATCTGAGAGGTATTTCAGTGCGTTTGCGTCTGCTAAGTTGTTGTAATTCAAATCGGAGATATTCAAAATGCGACCCCAGTAGCAGGGAATCTTCTTCGATAATTCGTGTAATTTATTTTCCAATTGGTAAGCCACGCCATGAAACCGTCGTTGGAGGGTGTGTGTTTTTTGAAAGGTCTCGAGGCGCTTTGTTCGAAAAGATGTCTGCAGCTTTTCTAAAGCAAAAATGTTTTGATGGACCTGAGGACTGACCATCATTAAATAGTCGTCGTACGTCTTAAAATTAATTTTTTCTTCTATTGTGAGCTCTGAAACGGAGCACCTCCCTTTGTCGTTGTAAAAAAACAAACCTCGACATTAATTAAATCCCGGGAGGGAGCAGTGGGTAATCCCGCTTGGATCGGCTCCGTCTCCATGTATTTTATATGGTAATCGGCCTTCGCCATATCCATCTGTCAACCCTTATCATTTTGTTATTATTTGTAGGCAAGCAAAAAGGGTTCCTTAGTAAATATTTACTATTATATTTAATTGTTTTATTATTATTCTTTAGTTTTGAGCGCCTATTTTAGGATGAAATGTTCACTTCCCATCTACTGGCTCTAAATTTGTTTTTTTTAATTAATATCACAATCAAATGAACTTATTTTTTTAACTTGATTATGTCGAAGATATGTGTTTTGTTTTTTAAATGCCTCTACAAAAACTTCATTGTTTTCTATTATATATATTATAATATATAATATATAATTGATTAAGTAATTATAATTATGATACTTTTATACTTCATTTAAAGTATTATATAATATATAATATATAATTTAGTAGATTATAATTAATTAATAATATTATTATTAATTATAAATTAAAATAAAAACATTTTTTATAATGAATCATTAATAAAGTTATAATGTCTATATTAGTAAAGATTTGTTATATCGATCAAAAGCGTTATTCTCTCCCCATAATAATAAAGTGAAACGAAAGACAACAAAGTACCAGCGTTACATGCCCAACTTTCTTCTGTTCCAATGTCTTCTCTTGAAGTTGTAGTTCATGGTGTTTCCAGTCTTCATTCTGTAGAACTGTGGGACTCCTTTGTTCTGTTTGATCTTCTTCCCGAGCTTGATCTTGTACGAGAACCCTTTATGACCGGTCTATCTGTTAGTGTGACTCTCACTCCTCGTCCAAAAAACAAACCATTTGTCAATAGAGTTTCTTCTAAACCCTTTTTTGTTCACGTTCTATTTTATAGCTTTGTTTTATTAATCTTATTATTAAACCTTTTCTCTTTTTGTTACAGATTTTTGTCTAAAATTTCGGGAAATCGTTCATTAAATTTTTTCGTTGATAATAAAGTATTATTTAAATTAGCATTTTAATTATAAATTAATGATTCCTTTTTTGTGCGTATTCTATACTAAATAATATATGAACTATAAAAAACAAAACAGAAGTTACACACAGTGACTTACTCCTCCTCAAAGCCACCAAGCAAATTAACGTTTTCTGCTCGTTCCTCATCCATCTGGTTTTCAGCGTCGAGGAACTGTTGAACTCTTTGAGCGTCTTTAATGTTTTCTGTAATTTTGAAACAGGCCTGTCTAATGGATGGGTTTGTCCAACACCCCTTCAAATACTCGACGGGGTACTCTGTCCCGTAGATTTCGTCGACTATCTTATAGAAGAGGTTCTTGAAGTTTGAATAGTCTGTGGTAGTTACTTTGACATAGTTGAATTGCTTAGTCTTCTCGATCTCATTCTTCACCTCGTCGATTTGGAAGTCGGTGATCGTTGCAATGGTGTTATTATCTTCGACACCGACCAGTATAAATTTGACAGCTGGAAGGTTACAAAACCGTTGTGACTCTTTATACCAATTGATGACATTCTTGAATGAAGACTCTTCGTCAAATCGAAAGACCAGTGTCACGATAGAAACGTTGAAAAATGGCGTGTAAGACTTCCCATGTTGAATGACATGGTTGTACACATCCAACTTGAGACGAATTGTTGCGTCCTCTTTTTTGATGAAGTGGTGGGGCTGTTTATTATTCCTACGTACCACAAAAAGAACAACAAACGTAGTCGACAATGTCATCACCCATGAACGCCGGCACATCAAGTAAGTTTTGAACCATCTTATGTGCTTCAGTGGATAACGACGAGTCGCACGCCCAAAGTGCTTTTATTAGCACATATAACTCAGTCTCTGATTTTGTTACAAATTTGGCTTTGCCTTGCGGTGACTGTAAATTGGCGAACATAGGTGTTGAGACACATCGGGTCTTATTACGTGAACGCTGCCTCTCTTTTTCTTCTTTCAGAATGAACTCCTCGGTGAAGTGGGTCTTCTTCAAGTCGTCAACTTGTTGATAAAAATCAGTGAAAAATGGAAAGATGTCACCGGGAGTGTATCTACAATACACTTTGTGTGGTATTTCTTTAATAAAATTGTTGATCTTCTCATCCGACTTGAAACTCTTTTTGGGCTTTTGAATAACACCAACAAAAACAGTGTGAAGGGTTAAGACGTTCCCACAATATCGAGTCACTTCCTCGTGCCATTTAGTAATGTTTTTGTATGAGTGGTCTTGGGCATTAAACACTATCACTGCGAGGGTTGTTCCTTTAAATGGAAAATAGCTCTTATCCTTCCCGACGTCGTTCTGATAATTTGAGACCGAAATACGTCCAATTCTATTGCCAAATTTCATATCCATTGTAAACTTGCAGTTAATTACTGTTACAAAAACGATTAGAAAATAACAAACATCGTTTGAACCATACCCTTGTGGTGGAGTACACTCCATCTGTTTCTTTACGTCAGTACTTATTGAAAATATTTAATCGTTGAATCCAATTGGTTTAAAAAGTACAAACGTAGAGGGAGTACATCAGTATTTTTCGATCCTTGTCACTGGAAGTGTCTCCAACAAATGATACTTTGAGTGTAAAGTTGATTGAAGAGTCCGCTATCACTGTTTTTGCTCTAGTGCAATTCATCTTACAATTCTAAGATTTGTCCAACTTTTTTGGTTACGGCAAACACCTCGGGTTTGATTTTTGAATGTGCTTCTTTTCTCTGTATGCCGTTATCAAACACCAAAAACAATAGTACAGCTTTATTACACTTAATTAATATTTTTATTATTAAAATCTCGTTGTTTTCGTCAAAAAGAAAAAATACAAAATATTTCATTCAATGGTTATAAAATAGTCGCTGTTTTTTTTTTGTTCGAGAAAAAATGGAGACATATCAAAAATCTATATTAAGTTTACAATGTGGGTTGATCAGCGAAAAAGGGAAAAATAATTTGCCAATCTATTAGTTTGAAATTTAAATTATTTTATTAATATATTTAATATATTGAATGATAACCTATTTTTTTTATAAAGTATCTTTATATAAATAATACATGTTTTTAATTAACTTTCATTGTAATAAACTATATTAACTATATTATGTTTAAGTTTATTGTACTAACAATTTAATTAAATTATACTATTGAAATAATTACCTTTATTTTTGTGGTTTTAAATTTATTTGCTAATACAATTACTTCGGTGACTGAACAATATCTGTCTCGTTGTGATTATTTTTACAAAACTATTGTTTTATAATTGTATATTTTAGAAAAAATGAGCATTAAAATAAAGTCTAGTTGTAGCTAATTTTTTTGTTTTAATTATTTTAGTCTTTTATTTTCGTAACAATGAGCATTGTACTTTTTTTAAAATTAGTATTATTAATATAATAATATATATAATAAAATATTAAAAATATAATATATTATATTATAATATAATATAAAATATTTAAAAATATAATATTTATGAATATATTATAATATTATAATATTATATAATATTGTTAGTGTATTGTGTAATTATTAATTTTCATTATTAAATTCCCTATTTTAATGGGGACCTAAAACATTTTGAATTCTCTTCTTTTTTTTCTATCGATGTCTTTTTTTGCTTTCGGGTCCCCACACATTTACGCACCTCCATTGAATTTAATAATGAATAATAATATAATAATAACATTAATACTAATTTATAATCAACCAAAGAAGTGTGGATCACTATTCTGAAAATGAAGTGCCCCTAACCTCCCGCATTTACTGACTTGAAATGTCCATTACAAAAACAAAAGAAATCGCATTTTTGGGATGATGAAATACAATTGCTTCCAAAGCCTCTGGAATATTGCGAACATTGGAGAATTGCAGCACAAAAATGCTCTTCTTCTCTGCAAGCTTCGAAACGCCTCTTAACCTTCCTCTTTACGAAGAAGTCAAAAATTGTTTTCGAATAAAAACTGTTTTTGTGATCTCAACAGTATTAAACAAATGGCTACTGAATACCGTATCGAGAAAGACTCTCTTGGGGAAATGCAAGTCCCAAAGGATGCGTTCTACGGAGCGCAGACTGTTAGAGCCATTAACAACTTTAAAATTACACACCAACGCTGTGACCCAGACTTCATTCACGCCATGGGATATGTCAAAGAAGCTACTGCCTTTGCAAACCATGCAGATGGTATCTTAGACAAGACCAAGTGTGATGCCATTATGCAAGCCGCTCATGAATTGGCTGAAGGCAAATTTGATGAGTGGGTTGTAGTTGATCCCATTCAAGGTGGCGCTGGTACTTCATTCAATATGAACTGCAACGAAATAGTCGCGAACAGAGCTTTAGAGATCTTAGGGTTTGGTAAATACCGCCCAGACGTTATCTCTGCGAATACCCATGTCAACATGTCGCAGTCCACAAACGACGCTTTTCCAACTGCTTTTCATATTGCCGGTCTTTGGAAGATTGACAGACTTGTCGCCGAGATGAAGTTGTGTTACAATGAAATCGAGAAGAAAGCAGTTGAGTTCAAAGACTTCTTGAAGATGGGAAGAACTCATTTACAAGACGCCGTTCCAATCACTTTTGCCCAAGAGCTAAGAGCATATAACTGCATTATAAAAAGAGGGTGGGAAAGACTTGAAAGGTCTAAAGGAGCATTTGAAGGTATTAATATGGGCGCAACAGCAGTCGGAACGGGTCTAAATGCTGAGCCAACTTTCATCACCTCCGTCGTCGCCAAATTGGCTGAGTTGTCGAAAACGAATGTCCATAATGTCGAAGACTTGGTCGATGGAACACAAAACTCGGACTGCTATTTGGAAGTGCATGCTGCTCTTGCTATCATAGCGTGCTGCATGAGTAAAGTTGCGAATGATTTGAGAATCATGACTTCCGGCCCAAGATGTGGACTTGGCGAAATCCAATTGCCACCAAGACAACCGGGAAGCTCCATTATGCCAGGTAAAGTCAACCCCGTCATTGCTGAAGTGATGAATCAGACGTGTTTCCAAATTATTGGTAATAACACTACCGCAATGTGGGCAGCAGCTGCGGGTCAATTTGAGTTGAATGTGATGGAACCTGTCATGTTCTATGACATCTTATTATCTCTCGAAATGCTCAAGAACGCATTCTCCACATTCAGAATCAATTTGGTCTTGGACCTTAAAGCAAACAAAGAAAGAATGCAATGGTTCATTGATAATTCAGTCGGAATTATCACCGCTTTGAACCCACACGTCGGGTATGAAGTCGCCGCAGCTACTGCTAAAGAAGCTATTAGCACTGGAAGACCAGTCAGAGAAATCATTCTTGAAAAGGGTGTTTTAACAAAGGAACAACTTGACATCATCTTGTGTCCCGACGAGATGACTACTCCGGGCATTGCTGGTGCTCGATTGTTGCAAAAGAAAAATTAATTTCAAAAATTTGTGTTCTTTTTGTTTTAAGAAAAGAGTACTTTATTTAACTAATAAATTATTAAACAAATTATATATTATAAATATAATATATTTTATTATATTATATAGTAAAACACATATTATGAACATTTTTATATAAAATAAATTAAACAACATAGTTATATACCAAACTATTGTCTAAATTAATTTATAAAGAAAGTTGTTATGAATAACGATAAAGGTATAACATTAATAATAGGCCTCACTTAAATTTATAGAAGTTGAGGTGGTCGAGTTCTGGGTCGTCGATTTGTGGACTTGGGATGAGGAGGCAGTGAAGGGGTGCGCCGAAGTCGTAAGTGAGAAGATCCTTCATTTTGCCAAAGACGATTTTCTGGTCTGGTGCGGCGACGCGAGCCAATCCGACGACATAGGTATCTTCGTTGTAGACGCCGGACTTCTGTGAGTTTTCGACTTGAAGGAGTTGATCGATGCATTGATTGATTGTCATGTAGCGTGGTGGTTCGAAGATGTCTCTTCCTTTGATGATGTTTTCCTCACTGCGTTCTTTGACTTTGATATCGAGAAGGACGAGTGTGTGCATGTTGTTGTCGCGATTTGTTTTGATGCGTTGGTAGTATGAGAAGGGTTTCCAGTTGTCAGTCCAGAAGCAGACAGAGACGGTTTGCCCAAAGCGATACAATTGGAGACCACTGCATCCAACAGCATTCATGATCGATGCGTTGTGAATGACTTTGACTTCAATGCCACTCTTTTTGCATCGGCAGAAGATGTCCGAGTGTGTTGTTGCTCCAAAAACATCACCAACTACAAGCAGCGCAACTTTCTCTGTTTTAGCTGGTTCAAGAATCACGTCTGCCTCACTTTCAACAAGATCTCTGTCTGCAACTATCACCTTCTTCCCATAGAACTCTTCAAGGCGGGTGACATCGCATTGCAGAATTGCTGTGTAATGTTCAAGAAAGATTTTGTCGCATGATTTGATTGCCTCAAGACCGCGCACAGTGATGTCTTTCTCGTCGTAGAGACCAAGTCCAATGATGTACAGCATTGAAACAGTTCACAACTCACAACTCTTTTTTAATAATATACAAAATTTAAAAACAAAACAAAATAAAAACAAAATAAAAACAAAATAAAATAAAAACAAAATAAAAACAAAGGAGGGTTTCCATGAAAACAAGAATATCACCAGAAAACACAAATAACAAACAAATAACATTAGTTGTGTGCCGTCTGTCTGTCTTTCTGTGAGAGCGAAAATGGGACAGCACAATATGGGCAATACGAGTGGTCTGCAGTCCATGGCGCAAGACAATCTGCGTGGAAGATGTGGTGGCACGCTGTGACTACAGCATCACTTTCACTTTCAATGTCACACAGACAGATCGGACACGTCACAGTCTCGCTGTGTGGTGCAAGTCCACTCAGTACAACAGAAAAGACTGCAGCAGCCCGTGTCCCCCACTGCACTGCTATCAGCACACATACACACACAAAGAGAGCACCGTCCGTCTTGACATTGATTGGGTTCTGGCTGTAACACATCCAATACATACAAACTACACACCGCACACACAGCGTCACTTTCACACTCACAGACCGCTGTGGATAACTGAACACCCACGGTATCACACTGAACACCACAGCTACACACCGCACATACTCTACAACACTAAACCCACACATCAAAACAACACTCAAATACACCTGCCCAACAGCTCCATACTTCCCAAGATACTTCCCTCCAAGCACAGCAACACAATACAACGACAACACTCCTACACTCCCAAACCCCCAAAACAAAAACATGTGTGGCGAATAGACAACAGCCGCTGTCCAATGCAAAAACGAGATCATTGCACTCCCTACAACAAGACTGTGCATCGTCATCCCATCAACGGGCTCCCTCTTCAACACACATATCTCACACACCAACAACACACTCAACAACACAACATACACATCACTCACACTACTCTCCTCTTTCCCTACATACCTCTTCCCTACAAACTTCATCACTCCACCTACCCGACCATACACATTCGTCCCATTCACTCGCACAATCGCAACAACACCTTCAACACGACACTCAAAACCAACACACTCAACTCGCATCATCCGCATCCCTCCATCTATATAAAACCCATCTCGTATATACAACTTCCCCGTCGTCACTACTTCACCATCCTTCTCTACACTCACCAACGACGTCAAAAAAAACGTCCCCACTGGCTCCCTCTCACTCATCACACTCTCTTCTTCACCAACATCATCCTTCACCCATATCCCCTTGTACGGCTGCTGCTTCGTCAACTCACTCTCAACACTATTTCCCACACTTTTAGATACCACACTCACCGCTATCATCATCATAACCACAATCTTCATTTATACTTCACAGTTCTTTGTTGTAAATTTTAAAGTTATAAAAAGAATTAACAAATATAACAAGCATTAAATAAAGTCATCGCTCACTCCGAAGTGAATACAATAGTTTGTATTTTAAGGTTGAATAAGTCTGAAAGTGACTTTGCCATATTATAAATCTCCGACCCGACGGTATTATATGTGAATGCATTTGCCCATATGAGTGCAATATCATCGAGGACATCTTCTGCATAAGTGTATTGTTTGTCTTTGATTTTCTTTTTGACTGTTCCCAAGTCCATTGGGTGTTTAATAACATCGTAATAGTTCAAGGCACCACTAGCTTCCGGGTCTACCTTAACCATAAAGGCGTATGCATTTTTGTTCTTTGAGAGTGATTGGATGAGTTTGTTCAATTGTGTGATGTTTGTTTTGTTCATTGGATGTCGTGGCAACGTGTTTGACATCACAATCTCTTGAATTGGTTGTTCGACCTTTTCTTCTTTCACAACAATTTCAAACGCGTCAATTTCCATTGGACTTTCCACTTTCATTCCCGTGTCTTCCTCCACCTTAGGAAGTTCAATTTCAAATTTGTCCTCGTCTAGGTCTTTCTCTCGCTTCACTTTCTTCTCGTGCTTCTCTTTATTCTTTCCAGTGTCGCTCTTCCCCCTTTTCTCTTTACTTTCCTTCGTTTCTTTCTTCTCCAATTTTCTATTGATCGTCGTTTCCCCCTTTTCCTCTTTATTCGGTGCAATCGGTTTATTCAATTTCTCTTGGTGAAGTAATGTTAATGTAAAATCAGTGTCCACCTCTTCAACTTTCTTCTTAGCTTTGTGCTTCTTATTCTTCTCATGTTGTTTGATGGATGGAAATTGGAGTTTGTCTTTAATAACGAACAGGCAGTACGGAAGCAACTCTCCCATCATCTCAGGTCGTTTCGCTCCAATTGCATAGTCGACAACTATCTCACTGACTCTTCGAAATGCAGCGTCAAAGTATCTTCTGTGAGCGTCGACTAAGAAAAATGCCTTTGGGATTTCCCACATCGATACATTCCCTTCGCGAAGGGAGTCTGACAGAAGGTCGACCATTTGCTCTGTGAAGCACTCAATTGGCTCGTTCACACGATACTTCTGGAGAAAGTTAAGGATTTCCACACAGATCTTCATATCCGGCGAAGAGTTGTCGATGTATATCCAGTCTATTAAAGCCTTTAAAGCATCGTCCGAGAGCTCCAATTTCTCTTGTGAAGGCATCGAGAAGTATTGTTTAAAAAAATCGCACCGACTCACTAAGACATACCGATGAACTTTGACGTCGGTGTTAATAAGAGTGTATTCCCCGGTATTGTTGTTGTAAAGTGATTCAAAGATGTCTTTGTTGTGTTGCTCGTACCCCAATTCCTCCTTCTCTTTCACAAATTTGATATCTGAAAACTGGCACTTTCCGCTCCTGAGGCGGTCAACCACGTCATACATTCCAAAGTGGTAATTTAGAGTTCTTGTTCCTGTTTTTCTCTTTTTAATTCAACAACTTTCTGTGAAGAGGAAAAGTTTTGACAAAAGTGGAAATCATATAACAGAACATGGTGATGGCGACATTAAAGGATATTTGTAGACAGGATTGGGAGTGTTTTAAATCAATCATAATTCATTTGAGCGGTTGCGAAGAAATGAGAAATGATGATCCAATAAGATGAAAAATGTTATTACTCATTTGCATTAATAAAGACTAATACAAAGAAATGTGTTATTAGCCAAGTCGTAAATAATGCTTTTGTATTGGCCTTTGGTATTCAAAAAACACTTAAAAGAATAATTACACAGCAAACGGAGAAACCCTTTTCCTTTAAAAATAACACCAGAAATTGGTCGTATTTTGAATACAATTGTTGATAAATTTAAAAATTAAAAAGGGTTTACCACAAAAAAAGAACTTTTCATTGAAACAAATGAGTTTTAATAGCGCAAAACACGACGGATATGGTATCGCCTTGACACAGAGCTCAGCAGGTGTGTCAACACTCTGGACTGACGGAGACGTGACTTGGTATTCTCCAGATTTGGCTGCTCAACGCAATTACCAGGTCCAAGCATCGGATGTGTGCGACACCTCCGACCCCAACGTTGTCATTTCGATGTCGTCTTCGGGGCAGTTCTATTCCATCGACCGTCGCCTTGCTCGTGCGGTTAGTATTTCCAGTCCAACAACTCGAATCAACGAAGTTGCCATCGCCTCCAGCGAAAATTTGTTGGTGGCTGGGTATATGGAAGTTGTGCGAGTGTTCGACCTTCGTAAAATGCAAACATTAGCCTTAATTACCGAGGCACACAGCGATGACATTGTGGACATCAAATTTTGGAATGAATTGATTGTCACTGCGTCACAAGACTCTCTTTCGTGCTTCATTGATTATACCAAGGGTGATGATGGTATAGTCCATACTGTGAATATGGGTAAACCAATTTCGATGGTCGGGGTGATCAACAAGGATCTTGTTTCCTTCACAACGGATGATTCTGCCTTCCAAATTTACGCCCCAAATACCGTTTGTTTCCATTAAAGAGTTATCATTTTACACAAATTACACATTCTAGTAAATCATATTATAATGGTATAATATCTCAAATCACCGAGACTGACGAGGAGGAACAAACCGTCTCAAATGTGGCCGATTTGCGAGTAAATACGCTGGCGACAAACTTCGACGGTGCAACCGTGCTGAGAGGTACAGAAATCAACAAAAAGGTCGTTGCGAGTGTTGCACTTCCGAACGGTGAGATTGACCTCTTCAATTACGTCAATGACAATAGTTACAGAAGATGTTTGAGAGCACGTTGCCACGAAGGCATTGTGAGAGACTATAGAGTGAATGGTACCACAATGTACACAACTGGAGAAGATGGGAAGGTTTGTGTATTTGACATGAAAACACCACCACTTGTTGAAGACGTTGCCCAACAACCACAAGCCACAAATGAGCTCAGTGGTGGAATGAGACAGAAACAACAAAGAAGACAACATACGCCAATGGATTGTGATTGAATGAAATTTTCCTTATAGAATTTTAATTAATAAATTTAATTTATTAATAAGTAAAAAAATCGTTAGTTTAAAAATTAGCAAATTATAATAAATAAATATTATTTTTTTTTCTTCAAAATTTACTTTTTTTATATTTTTCTTTAATTAAAAAAAATATTAATATTTTAAATTATTTAATTATATTTAAAAAAGATATGATTTGTAAACTGTATGATATTATCAAATAGTTAACTTATCCCAAACAAAAAAACACTAATGATATTAATAAATATAATAAATTAATAACTAAAATATAATAATTATCAAAATTATATAATTTTAATTTTATCAACCAAAAGATGTTTTTTGAATTACCAAAAAATATGTTAGAACCTAACAAAGAAACAAGTTTTTTATCCCAAGCAAAACGTCAAAATCATCTCATCTGATTTTTCGGGATTTAGGGTGATAAAAAAAAGTGGAGGAAAGAGCCAAAAATGGAATAACTATATAAATAGTATAAGCAACCAAAATGAATAACTACATAGTAAAAATAGCCGAAAAGGGAGGAACTAGATGGATATATAAGGAAAAAAAAGAGAACTTAGAATTAAAGGAGACGCATGTTTGGGAGTGACGCACATTTTGTTATACATAGACCGTCGTCGACAGAAGTCGACGAGAAGAATATCAGTCTGTTAGGGAATATTTTTGGAAATAAAGACACCATGCTACACCACCCTGAACCGACATCACCGGGAATACCCATTGGAAAGAGAGAAGACAGCACAATGGACTTGTCTTTTGATGATGATGACGTGAAACCAATTGATGTGAAAGCTCAGAGCCCTATGATTGTCTTGAACAAATCGAAGGGTGTTGTGATGGAAGGGGGTGTTGCCTATAAAGGAGATAAGGAGGAAATCCGAAAATTTAAGAAGTCGATACCTTGGAACCAACCCGAGAAGGTTGATTTTGTGAAACAGTTTAAAGACAACCAGAGCGAGGAGGATTACACGTTTTCGTTGGAGGAGAAGGAAGAGTCGAAGGCGTGCAAAACCGAGAAGTGTACTACAAACACGAATTTACAAAAAGAAGAAATTGTTGGGTGTGAGATAGACGCGGACTTGAAGGAAGTCATCGACAGCGAGAAACAATTGTATTTGCAAGCGAGTGTGATATATAAAAAGATGAGTGAAGACATCACAAAGGGCGATATCACACTCACCGACGAGGAAAAAGATGTTCTCAAGCGCGCGTATATACTCTTGAAAACCGATGATGGTGATGTTAACTCCGAAGAAATGAAAGAAATCATTAAAGAGACTGAAGGCGAGAATGAAGCAGAACCGGTTGAAAGTGAACACACAAGCGATGACGATTGGGGAGAAAAGAAGGACCCTTCCGATGTAAAGAAGACAAGCCGTGTTACATCAATCCAAACCTCATTAGATTGATCTTATTGTTTTTTTATGTTATTCGAAATGTTATTCCTGGTTTGTTTCTTTAGAAGGATTTCTAAAGAAACAAATCCAAAGGCGACGAACTGGAAATGCGAAGAAACTCGAAAACGGCACAAATTCATGTTCAAAACATCGAAGTACAAACACATCCAATGCCAAAACTATAAGGTGGAAGAATGGTACCCGGACGTCAAAACGTCGAACGGAGGACCAGAAGTCACGATGATGGTTGCTACTTCAACATATCTGGCATTGAACTGGCAAAGCGCTGGTGCAGGAAGTATTGGATGCATTCCACTGACAGAGAGAGGGAAACGAAAAGCAGAGCCAACATTCTGTAAGGGACATACGGCAGAAATAGTCGATATGATTAGCTGCCCATTTAATGATAATTTGATCTTCAGTTGTTCGGGAGACGGTACTATTAAGGGATGGGAATTGCCATTTCCGACTGCCATGAGCAAAACGATCTCCCCATGTTGCAGTCTTGAAGGGCATCGTAGGAAAGTTGATGTGATAGCACACAACTATGGTGCACCGGTGATAGCGAGTGCGAGTAGTGATGGGTATGTTAAATTGTGGGACTATGTCAAGCAGAGCGAGGTGAAAAGTATCGAGAATAAAGACACCGTCTTTTCTATGGACTGGCAATATGACGGAAATGTGATGATCCTCACGGGGAAGGACAAGAAACTGAAAGTTGTTGATTTCCGAGCGGGAAGTGTAGTGAAGACGTATGCGGCGCATGAAGGGACTAAAATGAGTTGTGCACGATATGTTGGAAAGGAAGAGCCGTTTGTGTTCAGTGTTGGGTTTGATCGAACACAAAGCCGCCAAATGGGGGTGTTTGACTTGAGAACGGACAAGGCGGTCTGCTTGAAACCATTCCCTGGGACGTCGTCTGTGTGTAAACCGATTGTTGATTTGGACACATCGCTGATGTACATCTCGGGAAGAGGTGATTCGTTGGTTAAGATATACGAATTTGACGCGAAGAACAAGATGTTTATTAGCGAATTGGCCACTCAGAATACCGGAGAAGCACTGAAAGGTATTTCGTTGTTACCTAAAAGAGCAGTGCATGTGAATCAATGTGAAATTAATACGTTACTTCGTCTTGGGAATGGGAAAGTGTCGAAAGCAGGGTCGTATATCATTAGAAGAGCTTCAATGAAATATCAAGACGACTTGTATCCGGACACGTTGTGGGTTGGAGAGTCTCTCTCTGCTGATGACTACTTGTCTGGCAAAGACGCCAAACCAAAAGAAGTATCACTTCAGTGTGTGTTTGGTGACCAAAAGGCGCTTTGGGACGCTTACGAATCCAACGAAGTGAAAGAAGCGAAAAAAGCTGCTGAAGAAGAGAAGAAGCGACTTGCGGAGGAAGAACAAAAGAAGGTGGAAGAGGCACAACGTGCGGAAGAAGAGAAGAACCGAATCATCCATAAAGCGCCACAAATCATACGAAGCACACACTTCAGACACATCAACATCAAAGCCTTCAACAAGAACACTAACATCATCGACTTGAAAATGAACACTACGACCTCACAAAGTCTTGTGAAGTGCAACAAAAAGTGGGTTGGAGTGCCGTGGACTGGTGTTGGTAAAATTGCGTTGTGGCCAGCGGACAAGCCGGGGAAGATGACGAACCCTATTTTCTGTGACAATGGTGGAAATGTCACGGACTTCATGTTTGATCTCTTTAATGATGATAAAGTCTACATCTGTGGTGAAGATGGCAAAATTCGAGTGTTCTTGGCGGAGGCTGAGAGTGCTCAGAAAGTCCAAGAAATTAACGCCCATCCACGAAAGATCGTTTCTATCAATGCGAATCCGTTTATTTCAAATTGCGTGATCACTGTTGGTGCGGAGCCGTCGATCAGAATGTGGGATGTTGCGAATGAGAGTCTAATCAAGGAGATAACAGGGTTTGGCGAACAAATTGGGAACATCAGTTTCAGTAGTACTGGTGAGAGAATGGCCGTCTCTTGCAAAGACCACAAACTGTATATAGTCGACTTACGGAAAGGGGAAATTGAGACATCGATTGAAGTGCCACAGAACGGGGGGAAAGGATTTATGTGTGCGTGGTGTGGGAGGAAAGAGAGAGTGTTCACTGTTGGGTTCTCGAAGAGTTCCCAACGAATGTATTCGTTGGTTGATGTTAAAGAAATGAAGGTGATGCATACCTCCCCGATTGATACGGAGTCTGCTGTGATGACACCGATCTATGACGAAGACATTAATGTCGTCTTTTTGATTGGAAGAGGCTCTAAAACACTGCATTGCTTTGAAGTGACGGACGAAGACCCTTATGTCTTCCCACTCAATATTTCCACGTTTGATGATGTTGTCAACGGATTTGATGTGTCACATAAAGAGGAAGTTGATGTCAAAAAGAGTGAAGTGATGCGACTCACTTTACTCATTGGAGAACCACCATCTGCAGTCTCAAAGAACAGCGTCATTGTCCCGCGAGTTAAACTTAATTTCTTCCAAGACGATATCTTCCCAGACACGCGAAGAAAAGTACCGACATACACACCAGAGGAGTGGATCGAAGGAAAGGTCAAAGACGTGGAATACATTTCATTGCAACCAGAAGGCATGATTAAACTGTCGGAGGCTCCAAGTGAATCGGAAAGAGCCAAATACTCTTACGAGCAAGAGAGAAAACGTATTGAAAAGGAAGAAGAAGACAAGAGAAATGCCGCTATCTTTGATAGAGTCCTTGATAGTATGAATGAAAAGAGAGACACCTTCGAGTACTCTGACAGTCCTGAATGGTCCGACGACTAACGTATTTTTAAGAAATGCCATCATTTTCTTTGGTTCTTAAATCATCCATTATAACTTGCATATTTCTATTACAATACTTATATTTTTATTATAATTAGATTCGTATTATTTATAATAAAATACTAGTAAATTAATTAGTAAGAAACTATATACTTTTGATAAAGAAGAAAAGGGTGGTTTGCCTTTGAATGTGTGAAAAAACAGGAGGCGATTGTATGCCCGTTATTTTCCGTTTTAAATATTGCATTTAAAGGGGAAAAAAAGACGACAAAATTTAACTAAAAAAGGCGCACAAAACAGTGCAATTGGTATTTGATATGTTTTGATAAATTATCGAAAGAAAAAAGACATGGAAATCCCCTGAAATGGAAGGGTAAAGGTAGTGAAGATTTATTGAAATAATGGAGAGAGTTTTGTTGTGTATTTTACAAAGGCTGTAAAATCTTTTGAAGGCGACTATTTCAAAAATGGAGAGAAGAAAACTCGAAAATTGAAACAACTTGATAAAACAGAATGAAACAAAAACAAAAGAAAAAGCACGTTCAGACGAGCTCAAGCTCTACACAACTCCATACCCTCGCACAACCATTTGAAAAAAGTCTGAAAGTGAAGGATGCGTGGTTCGATGTTTGTTTATCATAAACTTTTAAGAGGCGATTTACTTGACATCTATTTTGAGTTACATTATGATGAAGACATGTAGCTTGAAATCTTCAATTTTGAGAATAGAAATCACTGGAAGGTCCTCTCCGTGTTAAATAAAGATGTTACAAGCGGTGTAATCAGTTACTTGTTACGGACCGAACTTTCGGACGCGGAGAGACAACAAAACGCGGACTTACTCTTATCGTTTTATGTGGGGTGCGACAAACTGAAAGAACTGATTGACCTTTGCGTCGAGATGGATTACTTCTTGAAGGTGAATGATAAGACGAAGTATTCTCCATATACCAATTTACTCATGGCAATAGTCTTACGAAGCTGTAAGGATCAATTCCAAGAGTTCCAACAACTTTTGATTAAGCGGGTACAAAAGTTGAAGGGGGTATCTGTTTGTTCTTCTTCCTCTATTACTATAGTATTGGAAACTAATGAATATTAAATAACACAATAGCTTGATGACAAGAAAACGTCGACGTCTGACAAAGATTTAATGAAGGTGAAAGAACTCCTCAATTCGTTTGTAGAAGGGTGGATGACCCAAAACTTCCCGACGTTTGTTGAATCAATTTTAATGAAGAGAAAGATGTTAATGGTGTAGCGTTGTCATGTACATCTGGTCGAAACAGTACCAAACGTTTTCAAACAAAATCTTCACGAAGGACGATGTGTATAAAACGATGGAGAATTACATGTTTCTGTCTCCATTTAATTCATTTGTATATTTGTGGATGAACCAAACGGAGAGTGTCCAGTCGATCATTTTGTTTTCGCGGCTCATGCAGTCGCTCTTTGTCACAACGCAAACGGATTCGTACTGGAAACTTTGGATGAAACAGAACTCGCAAGATTTATTAAAACAAGTCTTCAAATTTGTGTGGAGGATAAAAGACTTGGAAGTTGAGCCCAACGTTGCTGTCTCGCAAATTCCACGGAACGTGAAGGGCCTTGTCGACTTTTTGAACACTGAAGAATCGAAGAAAGGCGTCAAGAACTACATTTCAGAGTATGGCATACGACTACTTCTATTAACAGGGAAAACAGACGAGAGGTCGGTCAAACTCCAATCAGTCCAAGCAGAGACATACTCTCTCTTGGTCGCATCGATGAACGACAAACTCAATTTCTTACAACAAATGTCGATAATGAAGATGCGAATTAAGGATTTGCATGAGGAGCGACGTTATTTGAGGCAACTCCTTGGCCCTGAATATATGAATGACGAACATGACGAGGAACAAGAAGAGAAAGACGAGAATTGATTTTTTAGTGTTGTTTTAGAATTATAGTGTTATAGTGGAGAGTTATTATATGACAAGAAGAACGCAGCTCAATGGCTTAATGGCATGTGACGTGGCAGAACTGTCCATTGGAATACGTCAAGTGCTCTCTAAGTGCAATTTTTGTGCCGCACAATTTGCAGATTTGACCGTACGGCAATTTGAAGTAACGTCTTGGGGCGTTGGCGACAAGTGATTTTTGTGACGCGCTTTCGAGTTTAAGTTGAGAGAATTGGTGAGAGAAGTAGTGGATTGCTGGAGTCAATTTGATCAAGTCACCGGTTGTTTTCAATGTGTCGAATAACTCGAAGAAGATGTTCTTTTGGTCGAGGGTATATGTCTGGATGTTAAATATCCAGTCCATTTGTTTTTGAGTCATTTCAAGAGGAATGATTGGGTAAAACATAGAAAAGAGTGTGAGTGCCACTTTTGGTTTAAATGGTAGTTCGACTGAGTTCTTTTGAAGGAGTTCCCAAATAGTTCTATTGAGTAATGGGGAGTATCCGTTGTGGTCTCGTAAACACACGCAATGCAACACAATTTCAACTAAAATGTTGTCTTGTTGAACAGAAAATGGTCTGTAAAACTGTCGAATAAGAGTGATATAGGATTCAGGGTTAATCCCATTTCGATACCCTAATCCAATTTCAGTGTTAACGCTCGACAAATAATTCGCAAATCGGTCGTCAAAGATTTTTATGAATTCATCCTCCCCAACATCAACAAGTCGCCTCTTTAACTCAACAAAGTATTGACGAAGACCTTCCATGAAACTGACGTGGTGTTTGATACGACACTGCAACCTCCACGACAACCCAGACGCTTTCTTAATCCTTTCGGAATAAATCGGGTTCGACATACAGTCGATCAATGCCTTTGTAGCTTCAAGTTGATCATTTCCTGGTAATTTCAAATATGCCAAGTAACAGTCGATAAGGAACAACGAGTCCAAAGCAGTGTTCTTGGAAAAGTAAGCTCTTAAGTACCTCACAATTGGCACGTATATCCTCTTCAAACAGACTTTTGTGATTTCCGTGTTCTTGGGAGATGGTTCTTTAGAAAAGACGTCTTCGACGGATGAGATGATCCCCTTCACGTTGTACTCATTTCCACCAAAGAAGTCTAACAGGCCCGGGATGAAGAATGACAACAAGAACTGTAACACCCATTCCGGTATAGTGTTCCCACACTTCTTTGCAAACTCCCTGACCATCTCAAAGTACTTTTCTTTACCAAAGACAATCAGTGTGAACAAGATGCTCTCAGCTATGTGTCTTGTGATCGTCGGCTCAACAAAAGGGATATATGCATTCTTATGTGTTTCACATGCACTTCCTTTTAATGCACACTCCTTGCACGCTCTCGCATTCAGAAAGTCGTCTTGCATCTTCTTTAAATTTGTGAGGAGAATTTCCCTGTAATTGTGGTTGGTGATGTTCTTTATACCGGTAACTCGCGTCAAAAACGCTTTGATTTCTTGTTCAGTCAAGTCGATAACCGTGTCGATCTTCCCTATAAATTTGGTCGAGTAATTTCCATCGTCGTCTAAGTCTCGTTCTGGATATGATGGCCAGCTCTCATTGATTCTTATTAATTGGTTGTACGCCTCTTCTTTACTTTCTAAGTACCCAACACAACAGCGAACTTGGAAGAACTTTGGTGGCATTTCGTTGTGGACTTTATAAAAACATTCCTTTGAAGTGGCCTTTGTTTGGTATATTAACGCGCAACAATTTTGAACGAGTTCTTTCGACGGATTCTTCAGACTTTCTTCGGTCGCTACAAATGTGAAGTACTCCAAATATGCCAATGTAATTCGCTCAGTCAGCCAATCTAAGTTTGTACTGCGTGCTTTACTATTTAACGCATCGGAATATAACTTTCTAAGAAACATCACAGCAATACGAAGACGCGTTTCGTTCTTTAATTCATACGAATCCGCAAGTGTCCACGACTTAATGTGTTTGACACACAAATCGACAGGAGCTTTAAATTCTTTCCCACCAAAGAGCTCATACACCTCAGTCCCTAGCTTCTCATTAATTTCGTCATCAGTGCCTTGTTGCGTCGAGATGAACTCTTTTAAGTACTTCTCACATTTTCTATCAAAGTCGATGACTACTGGATCATCAAACTCCGTCAGAGGGACTGTAGTCGCTACTGTCTTCAGTGCACTCTTTTTCTGTTCCTGGCCAATAGCCTTGATGTTAAAGATACCGTCCAAGTAATTCATCTTGATATAATAATTGATTAGAGTATTTCCACTAACAAAGTCGATGATGTGGTCTGAGAGCAAATAGTCCGTTTGAGACACAATAAGCCCAAGTCTTGCGTGGTCGGGGTTGTACGAGTATAACACAAGCAAGAAAGTTGTCAAGAATATTTTGTATCCTTCTGTATCGTTTGGTCTTCTCTTGGTGGTGTCCTTCTTTTTCAACTCATCTTCTTCAAAGAAAGTGTATTCGTTCTTGTACAAAAGAATCGACAAGTAATGCAAAAATGCCGTTTGGATCTCTGGACTTAATGTGTTCTGCTTGTCTTGTGACTTCTTCTCTGTGATAGACTTCAGTCGATTTAAAACAATTTTAAGTGCAGAACTGCTCTCAGAATACGCATTCTCGTCTTCCCACTCTCCAGTGTACATTCTACTCAATTCTTTCGAGAGTGTAGGAAAGAAACTTTTGATAACAGTGTGTGTCAACATCGCAGTGATCAACAAGATATTCTCGTGACTCATTCTCAGTCGGTAGAATATTTCTTCCAAGAAGGTAGCTGTTCTTAAGTTCTCATCTTTGAAGAATTGCTCTATAAGAGACAAAGCATAACAATATTGCGCCATTTCAGTTTGCACTTTCAGTCGGGGGTCTTTCGCCATCTCAGGAAACTCGTCTATCACTTTGATAGTACTCTCATACAACCCACTTTTCAACGACTCAAACACTTTGTCGGGCCGCAGTTTCAAGTCAAAGCACTCCCCTTTAGCTTTGATGAACATGGGATATGTCGCGTGTATATTAACAACATCATCGACTTTCACTGATTTTATAGACTTTGGCGAACCAGTCACTGTGTTTTTAAGAGGAAGTGGGTAGTAGTACAGTCCATTTGTTCCAACGTTCTGTGTCGATGACTGCTTTAACACAATAAAGAGATTAGGGACTTGATAGACAGCTCCTACAATAGCATTACTGACCTTCGCCTGTAATATTTCAGTGGGCACTTTTAGTGAGTTGTAAATCAAAAGTATCACTCCATCGACTCTCAAATGAAGAGAACAAACAACATAAGTAAATTTCAGACTCATAAGACGCTACAGCATGCTCGTCATCTACTTTCAATATTTTGACGGGACCCTTTTTCATCGCAGTTCGCGAAGCCACAACCCCTTTGACATCTCCAAAAGGCGATATTATAATGATCTTGTCTTCCATTGCTAGTACTAAACTCTTTCCTAAGAAACACATAGCATACACTTTCGAGTCTGCGCAGAAGACTCTGGCCATCGCATTCAAGTGTCCGTTACTCTCGAGAAGGCCGATACTGACGATCTTCTTCTTGTCTTCGTATTTGGCGATGACTGCAAAGTCTTCTTTCACTCGCTCAACACAAAAGACATCGGCATTCATCGAAGTTTGGGTGTCGCCTTGATTGACTTTGTCGAAAGCGTCGACGCCATCGACATTCTTGTCAGTACCTAATTGGTACACTTCAATACGCCCCTTTTGGAGCGCTAAAACCATGTCCATTTGTGGCATTGCGTATATTTGGTCGACTCCACCTTTGATACTGTCGATGACAAAGCTCGTGTGGTACTCTTTGCTAACACCAGCAACTCCAAGACGTTTGTGTCCGAAGAGGACCACTTTCTCAAAGACGTCGCCGCACGTCGACTCGCTAATAATTTGTTGGGCATTTGTGTCATTCACATTAAACGAATTAACTGATATGGGGGAATCTTTATCTACCATTTGAAGAATTACTAGTTCTTATAAGATTTGTGTGTATCAATGATATTCTAGTGTTGAAGTTGAATTAATTATATTCAATTAATTCATTTAGTATTATTCTAATTGCCGGGTTATTATTAAATTGCCAGGCATGATTGTTTCTAATTATTAATAATAAAAATAAATTAAAAATCCGACTTCTTAATTATTATAATAACTTTATTATATATTTGGTTTGACGTTTTACTCTTCTTCATTTATCCAAAAATCTTAAACAAATTACTTATCAATTGTTATATAGTTTGCGTAAGATAGTAATAAAAACAACTTCAAATTAATAAAAACAGTTTGATTAAACAGAAAATGAAAGCTGGTCGCATCACTACTTCATATATCCAGTCGGTTTGTTGTTGTCATCTAATGGAATAAATCGGGGGTTCACTCCATTTATAAGAATGTGCTCAACACGACTTCCTCCATCTATCCCAGCGCGCTTCATCTGTTCCTCTTTTCTTGCTTTCAGTTCCTGTTGTTCAAGTTCCTCTTTTGCCTTTTCAAAGACGTGCAGCTTCTGTTGTGTCTCATTCGCGACAAATTGTAATGACCTCACAATCGATTTCAACTCGTTCACTTCTTTCTGGTGTTCAGTTTTCAATCGGTTGATCTCTCCAACGGCTATCGTCACTTCACTTTTCATAGCTTTGTTCTTGTCGATCACTATAATTTTGGGTTTCATTGGTGACGTCTTCGACACATTCATTTTCTTGTGTAACCCTTCTCTTGGCGTTTCACTTGTTTCAAGCGGTTCGGTGTCTTCTAATTCTTCTTGTGCTGTGCTGTCCAAGTGTTCCACATTCACTTCACTCTCTGAAACTTCGTTCTCCCCCTTTTCAAGCGTCGAAATGGTCTCTAACTGTTCGACGTGTTCACCAACAGCGATATTGTCTTCAAATACAGAGGACTTCTCGGACGCCTCCACATCAGTTGCAACACCTTTTGAATGGTCACTGTGCTCCCCTTTAAGATCAAGTGAACTTGAATTGTTGAACGTCTTCTCTCGGTTCAATGTGTTGTCGTCTTTCTTCGTCTTCAACTCACTCAAGAAGAACTGCGCCGATATCTTCTTCTTCTCTTCCTCTAAGAACTCCTCAACATGTGATAATCGTCGACTCAAATGTTCGTAACTCTTTTTGATATCCTCTTTTGTCGCATTGTCTTGGCTCAATGTTGCAATGCGGTTCAATGTCTTTGGATTCTCTGGAAGTGTGAATTGTGGGATGTCCTCAGTCTCCATGGTGTATACCGTCTTGTCTTCAATCTCTTCTATATCGTCCACATTGTCTGGACAGAATATATTAGGTTCCTCTTCTGGTATTATTTCAACACCTTCGATAATATGAACGCATTCCTCTTTCATTTTGTCAGCGGCACTCTTCAGTCGTCTGTCTGTAGCTAATGAACGTTGTTCGTCTCTATAAAACTTGATAATGTGTATGACCAAACATGGAATGAAGATCGCAAATAACATGAAGAAGAAAATAACAAAGAAGAGTTGCACTTTCCACTGATTTGGAGCAGCAAGAACACACCCATTGTACTCTTCGTTGGGTTTATAATGCTTTGGACATATAACACAAGTGCCATTATCAGGAAAGCCATTGTCACATTTCAAGCAATGGTCGATGTTCCAGATACCATCCAGTTCACAACTGTCTTCACTTGCAAGTTCATCTATTTTACATGTAATTGAGTCTTCTGTTACCGTCCCATTTGGACAAGCAGAACATTCACTTGATCCAAAATTGCTGACGTATCCATTGAGACACGATTTGCAACCCTCATCAGTTGCACCTCGGTAATATCCAGCCGGGCATATATAACAAGACGCAGAACTGGTGTTTGACCAATACCCCAGTGGACACGATTCACATATTTTACCTGAAATACTATTGAAGAAGCCACTCGCACATGGGGAACATGTAAACCCATCAGAATGAGTACCCGGTGCACAGTCGAAACAGGAAGTCCCGACTTGGTACTTTCCGTTGTCGCATTGAATACACTCTTGAATAAATATCGAACCCGAAGGACAGGGTGTGATTGTAATGTTGTAACTCTTATTGTCCATATCTCTACTTAAAGCCAAAGAATCGACACCACTCACCTCCGATGTTGGAAGTGTTGGGAATACAGTTCCCTCACTTCTAATAAGTTGAATGACATCTCCAACAACGGGCAACAATTCTGGATATACAGATATCAATTTGGGGGTTGTTGTCGATGGTTGTTTGTAAGTCAAAATGTTAACAGGATTGGGGAATCTCAATTGGCAGTTTGTTAGTGTTGAAGAGCCAATATCCATTACAAGTGCTTTTGAGATTACCAAAGCACCGTCACATGTCATATATGCACTTTGTACATTTCCACTTAATGTGACAACAGTGCTTAAACCCACTACAAGTTGGTCCAAGTTTTGAACATCACCTATTACAGCAGAAGATGTTGTTTTAATAATAGAATTAGTACCCACGATATTAGAAACTGCCATTGTTCCATTGTTCTCAATGGTTGAGTCGATGATGTTTGTATCAGTCAACAAAAGTGTGTTATAATTAAACAACTTACATCTCAATGTACATTCTGGACCAACATGCATGTTACCTTTGTTAAAAATAGTCTGGAAATGTGTGTTAATATCACCTTCACAAGTAAGGTACTTTGACGAAGTCAACTGGAAGTCGGAATCTGTCTTCAGGTTAGATAAAACAACATCATTGGTGAAGAGTACATTTCCTTTCAAAATATAATTGATTGTTGACTTAACCTGTACTTGGGTGTTCTGATTGAATGAGCATAGACCATTACACGATAGCATCGAGTTGTCTCCATTAGCATAAATTACTGTCTTATCAACATTCAAGTTGCTGACGTTCAAATTGTTTGTTATATATAAATGACTTTCAGTCAAATTAAGTGATTCCAATGTAGTTTCTGTTAATGTCAACTTTGAGTTAGACCCATACACACTTTTCAATTGGGAGTTTGTTATTGTTGTCTCATCTGTTGTATAAAATGTACTCTTTGTAACACAATTTGTGATTACTGCCTTTCCACTTTGAACACTCAATTCTCTTGTTTCCAAATTCAAATTACCATTGAGAATCAAAGAGTCGGTAATAAGTCTTTGTGCTGGGTTAGAAACGGTTATTCTATTGGAGATAGTCAGTGTTGTTGCAGTTAGTTCATAATTGTTCATGTCAAGTTTGGCATTTTCAAGAAATGTCAACTTCTTGATGGTTGCTATCTTGAAAAGAGTAAGTTCACGAACTTCCAAAACATTCTTGTCAACAGTCTTGATAAATGCCGATCTCGCAAATATCGAACCATCACCATCTATTGTGGATGTTTCTGAAGTTGAAACAAGTGTTGTTAATGTAATGACACCATAGTTCCGAATTCTTCCATTGTTAGTCATTGTCTGCACATTAAGTGATGTTCCATATCCGATGTACATATCACCCCGAATTATAACATCCATTGGAATAATGTTGTTGACGTTAGAAAATCTTGAAACACAAGGAATAACCAAAGTGGATTCAGTTGAAGTTACACTTTCAAATGAAAATTTAGAAATACACCCAACAAATTGGTGTGTGTAATGATCAAGCAATGTGTTCGAGAAAGTAATTGATTTGCTTGTTAGAGTTCCAGAGAGAGTGGAATTAAACACATCAAAAGTACCCGCTATTTCAACATCAGTAAAAGATACAATGGAACTTTCTATAAAAAGACTCTCGAATGTGGATAAAGTTATTGTTGGTGTTCCTCCATAGACCATAGCTTTTTCCGAAAACGAACAATTATCAATGGTTTCAAATTCAATATAACCAGTTTTAGAGTTCACCTCAAGTCCTCCTCCAATTGACAATTGACTGTCTTTGCACCGTAGCGTTTTAACACTTGGTAATGAAGAGACGGTTGAATTAATTGTTGTCAATTTTGTTAAAAGACCGGAGTATTTGAGAGTGTTATTTTCGATTGAAATATCCATTTCAGGTTGTTTAGATGCAACAGTTATTGATAAAGTCGAGTTTGAAAAAATTGTACATTTGCCTCCACCAATAGTTAAATCAACACTCCCGCCAAACACATTCAATCCTGCTATCTCGTTTACCATTAAAGTCAAAGAACATATGGATTCACATAAAACAATATTTGGTGTTTTTAAAAGCGTGTTTATTGTTAATCTTCTTGGTAAATACCACTTCTCTGGTTGGACATTCATGTTCGTAGCAACTACTGAAATTACTCTACAACCACTTTCTTTAACATTAAATGTTGTGGTTTCAAGATCATCGATTAAACAATTATCAAAACAATTGAGTGTTCCAAAAGTTGTTGATGTGAATGAAGTTGGAAAGTGACAGTCATAATTATCAATTGAACTTGTGTCCACTGTTACATCAGTTCCGTTGTATTTTAAATAATTCATTTTCGAAGAAGACACAGAAAGAATTCCAAAGAACATTGTGTCGTCTTTGACTGTGATCATAGCAGACTTCAATTTGACGTTATTCCCAATTTCGCAATTTTGTATTTCCCATATTCCGTCAATGGTCACCAATTCTCCATCAATCAACGAATTTGTCATTTTAATAGCATAGTTGTTTGTATTGTGAATAATAATTTCCTTGCCTCTCACGAACCAGTCACTTATAATTGGGTTGTACGTTTCAAATTTATTGAAATAAGTATTCTTGATAACAGGCAGACTCGTGTCCATTGAGATATCATGACATATACAATTTTCGAGAGTGACATAACCAAAGAAACTTGCATCATCGATATTGGTGTCAAACAGTTCCACATTGTAGTTCACACTATTTGCATAGAAGTACACATTTCCTCCATGACTTACAAAATTATTGGACCTCATAATTCTCTGCACTATGTGTACATCTCCATAATTATCGATATCCACAGTCTTTAAGTTGCTTGAGGCATCTTCTATTCGATCAAAGTATATTTCCCCAGAGTTATTGACCACCAATGTATCTGCTGATTGCACATACAACGTTCCCATGTTCTTAGTTGCTCCATTGAGTAATCTGATCTTACAGTTTCCATTGATGATCTTAGCATTAACAGTTCCGAGCACAATCAATTCCACTCCGTTATCAACTTGGATGTTGTCTACATCCATTTTTCCCATTTTAAGAGTGACAGTGCTTTTTATTTGGATAGTTCCCACACTCAAATCATCTGAAGTAAATGATCCAGAGAAAGGTACTATGATTGTGTCTTCTTTAGTAAATGGTGTTATTCTTTCGGGATTCCAGTTAGTCCCCAGAGTAAAAGATCCGACTGTTGCGACCATTTGGTATGTGGTTGCACTCGCAATGTACAGTAGCAAAGCAAGGATAGCAAGCATGTTCGAAGTATATTGATTTTAACGTTCTATCAAATGTATTTCTTTTAGTTGAGTCTTTAACACTTTATATAAATAAACTGGTTTTGTTATTGTCATCTTAATATCACTAGTTTTTTTATTATAAAATTATAAGTTTTTAAAACCTCACATTATTGGAAACCAGTTAACTAGTAAGTCAAGACTATTATTTGATCTTAAACTTTAATGATATTAATGGTAAAATAAACTAATACAAATAATATAATTATTAAAATATTATTGTGATAAATAAAGACATAAATAAAAGATAGTTTTAAATATTAAATTATCAAAAAAACTTAAAATTAATATTTTGATTTTAAATTATAATTAAAACACTTAATATACGGTTCTATAATATATATAATTTAATTTTTATTATGTGTAAAAAAAACTCCAATTGGAACTAGCAATACATTTAGGGTCTCTTAAACCCTCCGATATTTTTCCTGTTTTCATTATGCCTTAGGAAAATTTCATTTTAATCAAAAAAAATAAATTAATATTATACGCATTCGACCTAATTTGTCGGGAATATTTTTGGTTTATATTTCGTGAATATCTTTAAAACAAACGGGAATTAATTATTGTTTATTAGGATAGATATGTCGAGAAAGTTTCTACAAAATCGGGCATTTTATTTTAAAACATTGATTAATCAAAAACAGTTATAGGACAAAAAAATAAATTTACTCTTAATAAAATTAATCAACCAAATATATAACTTAAAATATCAATAAAAATGGTTAAAAGACATACATATTGAAATGTTGTATATTTACCCAAAAATGATAGGTAATAAATACTTCATTTATCTTGATCGATAACATTTCAATAACACAAAATACAAATACTAAAAAATAACAATTCAAAAAACATAATATCCAAAATATCAAAACATATTTTTAAAATGGCAATTTTTAAAATACCATTTGAATTACAAAATAGAATTTATATCAAAGACCTTTAAAAACCAAATATAACAAATCACAAGACATTAAAACTATCCAAAGATGACAAATAAATCAAAACATGTCTAAAATTTACAACAATAATTGTCAAAACGTAATACACACAACACAAATTATAACAAAATCAACTTTGCCATGAAACAAAACAAAGAAAACAATTATAATTTTCTTCACGCCAAAAAATTAAAAAAGTTCGTGAGTAAAAATATTTCAGTCTTTTTGTGATCAATTTTGTATAGATTTGAACTGTTTTGGTTTTTTTGATTGCAACAAACCGATTTTACCAATAAATGCTAAAACATCAATTTATATAGTTTGTTTTTTAATAAAATTTACTAACCTTAAAACTATGAATTTTATTAATAAATTCTAACACTTTTACTAAATTAGTTGTATTAAAAAATTATATTATTATAATTATAAACAATTAGAAAATAAACAAATACATTCAAATTGATTTAACTATTTGGTACACAGTTTAACAAAGTCTTTGGAAAATTTGTTTTGCCAGCCTAGCCTTGTTTTGTTTGATTCATACTAAATCTACATCCGTCTTTTAGGATCGATTCACCCTATTCCAATTAATGTTGTCTAGGAACCTTTCTCCCTTCGATCCTTGAATGTTTTTTCTTCTAAGTATCTGCTACTTCCACCAAGATCTGTACTCAAGTCTGTTTCAATAGAAATTACTTCTCGACCTTTATCTCTCACGTATTTTTGACACCATGTATTTCCTTACTCCTCGTGTGCCTCAGCCTCCACAAAAATACAATATCACCTCTCTCATTTTATTACCTTCCATTTTCAGGGCTCATCCATTCGATAGGTGAGTTGTTACACACTCCTTAGCGATTTCCAACTTCCATGGCCATCGTCCTATTGTCAATATGAATGAACACCTTTTATGGTTCTCCTCATGCAAGACTTGGATACTTTATCTGTATGTTCGGTTCATCCCGCATCGCCAGTCCTGCTTACCAGACTTGGCCGATTTGAAGTCCGCATATGCTCACTCCTAATAAATGTTTATCGTTTAGGATATCTCGACTATTCATAGTTTGTTAAAATGTTGAAAAGTCAAGCTCTCCATTACATCCAATCATTATCTTTACCAATCGTCACTACTTTCTCACTTCAACCTTCCTAAGGGAATATTCAGGTGGAACCATCTGCTAGATAGTTCGATTAGCCTTTCGCCCCATACTCATATATTGCAAGTAATTTGCAAATTAACACGGCCAAGTCCTTCCACCCAAGTTTCCTTCGGCTTCAAACACCACAAGCATAGTTCACCATCTTTCGGGTCCCAACAGTTTAACTCTAGCCTTTCCTAGGTGAGTCCTGCTATATGTTTGGTCCTTCGTTTTCGCTTCATATCTGGGTTTTCTTCCCTTCCTATTCGCTCCAATGTTAACCCTCGTGGAGAAACTAAAAACGTTTTTATAAACCACGAGGGTTATATTTCAATTATTAATCTTTGTCAAATATTTTTTACAGATCATCTATTTATATTGTGTTTTTTCGTTGTATTCTTGGTTTGTTTCATTTTATATTTTTAAAATGGATTTTTTTCAATGTACAGTTAGTTTCAAATTAATTTAAAAATGTTCAACAAATAAATATGATTGTACCAAATAAAATAAAAATATTATCAAAATAAATTTAAAGTGTTTCACAAAAAAACAAAAATGTACCTTTTTTCAAATGTCTCATAATTAATTATTATTGTTTCAAATAAAATTCTTTTTGTACAAATTTAAATTTAAATTGTTTCAAAATTGACATTTTTTGTTTCAAATAAAATTAACAAAAATAATAAACATTTAGCTATAAATCGTTTCTTTTCATCACTTTTTCGGCTATTTCGTTGAAAAAATTACCAATAACTTTTCTGACATCAAACTTTCGATACTCAAA